GCTCCTGCGGCACATGCAAGTTAAGAGCATTATCTACTCGAGCTGCTGCAGGAATAGATTGTGCAGAAGCAATCGCCATGGACTCTGACGTTTCCAGAGAGATGGATCACCTCTGGAAATAGCTAGAGACCGCTGAGCAAATCTGGCCTGCACAAAATGACTTTCAATTAAAAACACTTTTGGAGCACTTGGCTGTGACACCCCAGCAACAACGATTAAAGCCTATTTATAAGACCAGAGCCCCGAGCTGCTTGCGAACTGTCGACTATTCCAGGCGATTTTTTGTGCCGCCTCGCCACAGGCTGGAGCGGATGGGGGGTTACATGATGCAGTCAGCCGTCAGCGCTGCAGGGGCCACAAAATGCATTGCGACATTTTGTCGCCCATTTTAGTAATTATTTTTACATATTTTTCGTTGCTTTTACATTTTTTTTTTTTTTTGAGAAGCTATTGAACTTGGCACAGGGTTGAAATTTTAAAAATAAATTTCAACTCGTAAACGCGGAGGAGAACATGCATAAATTGCATTGCATTGCAGTGCAGTGTAGAAGCAGGAAGCAAAAAATGTATCTGCAAGTGCGAGTATCTGCGAGCGGGCCAAGCGAAAGTGTCGCCTACAAACACATACGCATACAAATATATTATAGAATGGGGTGCACATATATGTATGTATATATATGCCCATTTGACAGTGTAAATTTAGATAGCGCATATAGCAAGACTGGGCAAGCGAGAGGCCATGCGATTACTGCAAAGACAGCCGCATGCAAAATGAGATATTGTATCTGCAAGATAAAAAGCACTTCAGCTGCTGCTGCTGCACAGAGCCCCCATTTCTTTTGAACTGCAAAACGTAAAATGCTGCAATTAGACGCCGCCAAACGGCTTCAAGTGGCATGACTCCAGCTACAGCCACAGCCACAGCCACAGCCACAGCTTCAGCAGCATCTTCAGACGTGTGCTCTTACCATTTTGGCAATCAGACTTCAGTCAACCTACACAATGGCAATAGCAATCATATTGCAGCAAGATTTCTGGCCGTCGCCGTCGTCTCGCAATTGTTCTGCTTTTGGCTTTTGGGGCCTCCTCCTCGTTGGGAGACCGCAAAATGAAACTCGTTTTGCGCACACACAGCCACGGACACACTCGCACACACACACACACACACACACACACACACATGCACACTTGGCCAACTCTTGTACATTATTTACCAACTTTGTCTGACGCCTGATTTTTTTACTTTTTTTTTTTTTTGCATTTAGGCTGATTTTGGGCGTCAGTTGAGCTACATATATACTTCTCGTACTTTCGTACTTAGGTGGGCAGACAAGATATGTTGAAGCACGCTCCTCACACACACACACACACACACACCCAGAGAGAGCGACAGATACTCGTATCTGTATCTCTAAGCACTTGTTCGTGTGGGCAGACGAGGCTGGGCGTAGGATTGGCGTAGACGCCAAATGCGCTTACGTAGAGCTCAAAGCGGACCACCCGTTGCCCAAACTGCATGCGATGGCAACAGCAACAAGAGTAGCGCTTATAGAAAACAACACACTCATGTGTGTGAGTGTGTGTGTGTAAACTAAATTACAAACGAAAAAAAAAAATTGAAGAAGCAAGCAATTTTAATTGAGTTAATAATCTTAATGGATTTTTCAAACTTAATTACCAGTTTGTGCTTATTGAGTTTTTGTTGCTGCTGTCTGTTATTATTTTTATTTTTAATGTTTTTTTTTTTTGAGCAATTTTCGACACAATTATTGTTTAAAATAAGAGCAACTGAACATTACACTGTTAAGACACTATAAAGACTTTGACAACGTCTGTTAAGCCACTGTTAAAATCGTTAACAGCGTGTTAACGGATGCGTTATCCTAAATTGTTTAGATGAAAATATATATTTTATGATATTTGTTGTATATAAGTTATGCAACTTCTATCTTCTAAAAACGACCTTCATTTACACTGTTTTTCAATATTTCATTGTTTAGTTCGTCTATTGCGTTAGTCAGACATGTGTTTCCTTATTTTAAATATATTTATGGACGCGCTGCGCTCAATTATAACAAAAATAGCTTACGTTTTTTCTGCTTGCTACTGTGTTGCTGTCCATCAATTGTCAGAAAAATCGTAATAATAAAGAGCATTTGTTTTGCTATGACGATGATGACGATGCTAATTTATGTAAATTGCACAAATTTTAATTAAACACAAGTTTAAACAAATGTCATGCGAATTGTGGCGAAAGTTTGCAACAAAAGCAACAACAAGCAAAAAATAGAAACAATAAAATTTGTAATTTTATTCAGTAGTTTTATGAATGTGTGGGAACTTAGAGCCGCAGGCCCCGGCTGAGTCATAACTCAGACGCGTGAACTTTTTTATCAGCTTGTTTGTGTTCAGAGTCTAGAATCGAAATGCACCCGAAACGCCCGCATGTACATACATACATATTCATATACACTTACATACATATGCATGCACAAACGTAGGTATTTTGTCGCCTGAATAGCGCCGTTTAATATTATAAATAGACTCAGCGATAAGACAGCGCGCAATTTTAATGGCGCTTAGAAAAAATCATTTTGTTTATTTGATTAATCAAGCAAATGATTATTTGCCGATTACTGTTATTTAACAGCATGCGGCTTAACAGTGCCGCTAATTGGCTACGCCTGCACAACTTATTCGCCAAGCGGCATTTCAAATAGCTTCTGATAAGAAACAGAAACAGTAAAAAAAAAGCCAAATCAAGAGTCGAACAACAAAGCCTTTTGAGCGCCCGGTTTTGTTTACAAATTCACCGCGACTCCGATTGGTGACAAGCTGTCTGTTACGCTAATTGCTGTTGTTATTCTTGTAGTTCTGCTTTATGTTGGAAACAGAAAATAAACAATATAAATTTGTGACGGACACGGAATAAAAGCAGAGCAAAGCGAAAAAAAATATATATATATATATTTCAATCAACATGTAAATGGATATACCTTTGCGTGCGTGCTATCTTTGTTTAGGCAAAATACCACAAAATATGTAATAATAAATAAGAAAAAGACACAAATCATGTTGGTAAATAATATGCAAAAACAAGCGGCGAAAATGAAAACGAAGAGTTGGTGGTGGGGGAGCAGGAGGGGTAGGGTATGCATGAAGAAAGCGTTTTGTTACAGGCGTAAATTATACACACAACGAAACTCCCACAGGAAGTTCGATAGCAGCACAAACAATGCCCAGCAGCAGTAGCAGCAGCAGCGTCGACTGCAGCAACGGCGGCGGCGGTGCAAGACAAAGCACATACATACAAAAAAATCATAAAATATTGTATTAGTACATGTCTGTGTGCTTGTATGTGCCATGCAAGCGAAAACCGTATATGACCCAATTAAGTGAACCCAAGCGCTTGTGTAATTATGAAAGCTGTGTCTGTGTGTGTGTATAAATGTATACGTGTTTGTGTGCATTGGAGCTGGAATTTGCAACGAAGCGAAAAGGTTGCCACTCTTGCCGAAGTCGTTGTTTCTGTTTATATTGTTGTTGCTGTTGTAGTTGTTAGTGTTGGTCATGCAGATTGCAGACAGCGGCGAGAGCGCCAGCGACAGAGAGCAAGTTTGAGGGGAGTTTGGCAGACGCTCTCACACTAACATACACATATACAAGAAATGCATTAAGCCGAATCGTTGACCGCAAGCTCTGCCAGCAGCACAATATCCAATTGGAACGGAAATCAAATACCGAAGGCAGATAACAAAAAAACACCTCAAATAAAACACGGTAGCAAAAATAACAAAAACCAAGTGGCCAAATGGCGACAATAATATTTTATCTAAAAGGCAAGAGGTCAACAGCATAAAGTGCTGCCACACAAAAGCCGCAGTAAAGCAGAGGAAGTGGTATAAGCAAAAAGGCAATAAAAATAGCAGCAACAACCCTTGGGTTGCCCTTAATTATTTAAAAATGGAGTTTAAAGTACACACAAACACACGCACACACAGACTAACGTACGTACTTATAGGCGCATAATAACCCCACCCAAGAGCAGCTTAATCTTTGGCACCAAACACCTCACACACACGCAAAGCACAAGCAAAGCACTTGCATGTCCTGCTGAGTGTGTCAGAACGGAAACGTGTAGACAGGCAAGTAAGAGAGAGAGAGAGAGAGAGAGAGAGAGAAAAGGAGCGTAAGCGAGCGAGTTAACGGAACACACCCTAGCGCTGACGTTCTAAAAATTGCATTAGCACTTGCAGAGAGAGGGAGCTAAAGAGCAAGAGAGCGCGTAATGGGGAATACCGTAAAGAGAGGGACGCCAAAATGCATGCAGACAGCTGTGTGCACAGAAACAAAGAAGTATACCAACAAATTTAATGATTTCTCCTGGCCCAGGTGAGTAGACACATGGCAAGGACAAGCATATAGGGCGGACGATATGGCTACGATAGTGACAACAAAGAGGAAACACGTCGGAAACTGAGACGGGGACGTAAAAACACACACACACACACACACACACACACACAGCCACAGACAGGGTGCAGGACAAATGACGAGTGTATAATGACGTTTTTGACAAATACGTAATGTTCCAGAATGACTCATTCAGTTGTATCTAGAGATGGGCGCGGCTCCACCTTTGTCTGTGGCGTGACACGACACTCAAATAAGTTTAAGGTTATGATTTTATAATAGCAATTAATTATAAGTTAGTATGCCAACAAAAATATTTATATATTCATAAAATTGATTTTAATATCAAATTCTTATTAGACTGTGTGATTTCATAGATCGTTCCAATTAGCCTGATTTAATTAGAATTTCAGAATTCGGACTTTCTACAATCATGTGTTAAACACAAAAGAAAGTAAGATTTTTTTTTTGGGGATTTTAATGTTTTATGTATCTCTAATTTCTAGAGTTTTTTTTCTCGTGCTTTAAAGCTCTGCTTTTGTCAAGTCACGCGACCATCTTCAGTTTAAAATCTACTGTAAGCTTACCTGGGGCGGAGCACCGGCATTGAAATGATTGTCCAAGTGGTCCGAGAACAAGAGTGGCTCCTGCTGCTGCTCCTTTGTTTCTTCGACAAGGTGTTTCTCCTCGGTGGAGGAGGACAGAGGTGACGGTGTTATGTCCACAATGTCTGCCTGCTCTGGCTGGAGCTCAAGCGTGGTGGTCGTGGCTGTTGCAGCCGCTTCTTCGTGTTCTGGCGAATCCGGACTGAACATGGGCGCACTGGTGTCCAGTAGCAGACTCTGCTCATGATCGTGATCCTGTTGAGCGAATGCATCACTGGAGGTGTGCTCCAAATAGAAAGAGGCCTGCATGGGATCGATCAGCTGACGTGGCTGTTGCTGATGCAGCTCCTCAATGGAGGGCGATTGGGAAACAAGCTCCTTCTCCTCCACATTGAGCAACTCCTTCTCCTTGAGCGGCTCCTCGCCTGGCGTCTGCTGCGGCAGCGTTTGCACCGAATTCAATATGTCTTCAATTGGGGCATTCGAGTTGGATTCGCCGTAAATGGACTGCTTCATAATGTCGTCTTGTAGCTGAGTGGGCACAAAGTTCTTATCTTCATGTGACTCCTGCAACTCCAAGCTTGCATCCAAGTCGGCGTCCAAATCAACGCTGGTCTCCGGACCATGATCGATGCGCTGCTCCAGCTGCTGATAGATCTCGCTGCCATTCTGGAGCTGATCGGCGGTAGTCAGATCCGCTTCGCCGGGGAACGTGTCATCCTCCTGCTCCAGCTCGTGCGGACGCCTGTCGGCTCCATTGTCGAACTCGCACTCATCGGGCAGCGCAATGGTGTCCATGTTGCAGTCGCGTGCTCCTTTGCGTGGACTCTCAGCGACCAGATCGTCGGCCAACAGTTGGCGCCCCAACGTCTGCAGTGGCTCGACAGGTGCCGGCGAAGCTGGCTGCGAGCCAAAGTGTGGCACAAATTCAACAGCATTGGGATTTAGTTGCGAGTGCGGCTCCAGATCCAGCTCCAGATCTAGCCCAGCCGGTTCCTGGCCAGTTGGATGGACATTCTCCTTGTTATCAAAGTGTTCTGCTTGTACATCGCTGGCTAGTTGTTCCGGTTCTTGTTGTTGTTCGCTGAGACTGCTAGTGCCATAGGTGGTTGCCACGGAGCTTGGCTCATCCTCCTCATCTGCGTCCGCGTCATCTGGCTGCAGTTGCTCTGCTTTTGGCAGCGACACCTCCTTTGGCTGCGGCTCCACTTCGCCCGTGGTTGAAGTTGTGGTCGTGTTCGAGTTGCTTGAAAAGTCGCCATCATGCTTAATCACCTCGACGTCCTCTTCTTCTTCGGCAGCTGCAGCAGCAGCAGCTGCTCTGAAGCCGGCTGCGCTGCCAACGCCATTGCCCAGGCTCAAGTCCATGCCGAGCGACATGTACGCGTCGCTGCTGCTGCCAACTGCGACGCCGTTGCCGTTGCCGTTGCCAACACCAATACCAATACCATTGCCAACGCCAACGCCAAAGGCGACGTCGACGTCGGCGTCGCTAAACTTTTCGCCGTAGAATTGATGTTGCTGCTGCTGCTGCTGCTGTTGTTGCTTTTCGCTCTGCTGCACTTCTTTTATGTACTTCCATTCTTCGTCGTCATCGTGCTCACCAGACTTGGGGCCAATGTTGGGCACCAGCTCGGCAGCAACGTCTACCGCATTGCCGGCGCTGCCAGCGTTTTGCAGACTCTCCGCAAGGCGATTTTGCAAGAAATTGTCGAAGTGCGCGTTATCCTCGTGTTCCATTTTGATGCAGCAGCTGCTTTTTAACTTTTGCAATAATCAATTGCTATTGGTGTTTTTTTTTTCCTTCTTGTGTGTTTTTAGTTTTTCGATTTCTCCGTATTTTTTTAAAGATGCCAACCAAAAAAAACTGATGTGATTCAGTTTGTGCTCTCGCTTAGTCGTGATTCACACGCCGCTTCTTGGCTCTTCTATCTTGCGAATTCTCCTTTTGCTCTTGCGCCGCACCGCCTCTTACATACACACACACACACGACAAAGAGAGAAACACGCACACACTCAAACGAACAGCCGCCAATCACGAAATGCTTCTTCTTTTTGCGCAGTCCTGCTTCCCAAATGTGCTCACAAATTAACTGACTTTTAACGCGCACGCAAACACATTAATTTTAATTTTAACAAACAGTTCAATGTAGTGTAAAGTCTAAACAAATCGCAATTCAAACTTTTCTATATTTTCAGTTATTTTTGAAAATTACTTTGCCCACCGATTCTTGCGCACATACGACCTTCCAGCTTTAAAACAGAATTCACAATGTTGTGCGCGATACAAGAATTCGATATACTAGAGATGGTAGCAGGGTATCGATTTTGTGTTTGTATGGTGAATATAGGTGTTGAATACAGAATACTCAAAAGATATCGATGAGTTACTCGATTATAATTTTACTTGAATATTCACAAAGTTAAGCCCGCTACCAACTTCACTTCAGTTAAAAATTCGGGAAAATGTAATCATATTTATTTGGCGGCAGTTTTGATATGCTGGTCTTATATATTTAAATAAATGACATCGTTTTTGATCTTACTACACAAATAAGTCTGACTAAATCTGCTATAACTAATAAAATTAGCCAATCAAAAAGCAGAACTATGAATTAAATGTAGTTGAGACTTTAGCGCTTGATAATTCAACATTGTTGCTCGCAGCCACGAGTCCTTCACGCTGAAGCGTTGAAACGGTTTGCTATTGCTTACGTGATTCCTATAATACTTATCGTAAATCATTTTAATTACAGCATTTTGTACAGTAGTAGACTGACGATTCATGTCTTTCCACCCGCTGCTACACCAATCAGAATCTCCGTATAAACAATTCATGTTGTCCTCGATAAAATCACCGTCGTCCCACCAAGGCGGCACGCCGTCAACTTTTATGCATTCTTGTAAACGGACTTCTTCTTTCTTCTCAAATTCAAAAATCACCTTCATGTACTTGACGCCAACATTACAGCCTGATCCTGGTGGCAGGCCTAGGGCTGCTGCGATATCATCCCACTCATCCACATCCAGAGCTCCTCCTCGAGCTTTCACCAGTGCGTACAATCTAATAAATGGCATTAAATCAATTTATATATATATTTCTTCATTTAAACTTGCATACTTGAACAGATTCACGCTGCGCTCTAGTATCTTACATTCGGCCTTTAGGCCACTTCGCTTAAGGAAATTCCTCTCCTGTTGCTGCGGCGTGCTCCAAAACCAAAGCGATGAATTTGCGGATTGTTCCAGTGGCTGCTGCACAGTCTGCTCCAGCTTTGGATTATGCTCTAAATTGAACATGGACTTCTTTGTAGAAGGCAGCTCATTCTGCTGATCTGCTTGTTGGCTAGCTGCAACCTGTTGCTGTGTTTTTACCGTCGATTCTGTATGCTTTTTACTTATATGTCTCATTAAATTGTGAAGTGATCCGGCGGCATATTTGCAGTGCGGACACGGCTGGCACTGCGATATTGGTACCTTGCCCTTGTCATGATTCCGTTCATGTCGTTCTAGGTTATATGCCCTGTTGGTAGTGTAGCTGCAGCCTCTTCTGCTGCAATGCAGATGCTCTCGCGGATTGTTCATTTCGAACAATGTTTACATATTTAGCATACCATCTATGTGCCGCCTGCCAACAATCGTAAAGTAAATAAAAATATATCGATATATTTCCGTGACAAATCGTGTTTTATTTGAAGGATGCGATAAATTGATTTCATGCAATGCATTCGCATTAACATTTTGTATTATTCAATTTGATTTTTGAAGTAATGCTAGGGAAAGGATTGTGGGTAACTAAATCAGAATAATATTATTTATAATAAAATAAATGTGTTAGTTTTAAATCATTTTTAGTTAGTTTTTACTTACGGTAACGTATATCGATTTTTTTTCGATTATTACAGGCTCAATCTTTAAATGCGACCAGTGCGAATTATTTGTATTGAATTACTCATAACTAACACACCGGCATTAATAACTGAATCCAGACGAACTACGAACGTTGTACACCTGTGGGCAAAGTGCGTTTTAACAAGTTAATCAATAGAGTAAGTTAGGTGAGTTTCTCGTAATTTCGATGTTCGCTGAACAAATCAAACAGTAGTTCAAAGTTCTTACTCTCAGCAACATCGAGCGCATAATTCTGATAACGAATTATTCCTGTTAACGGGCACATACCAGACTTGTGACGTCTACACTGACCTTGAACGCAGAATGGAAACTGAACGCTTGGACGTGATAATATTTGGAGCCACAGGCTTCACTGGCAAATACACGGTCTACGAGGCGGTGTCCGTGCTCAAGGATCTGCGATGGGGCATAGCCGGACGCAATCGCGAGAAACTGCAGGCGGTGCTCAAGGAGATGGGCGCTAAGGCCAAAAAGGACTTGTCGCAGACGCCCATTATTATTGCCGATGTCAACGATGAGGACTCGTTGCTAAACATGGCCAAAGCCTGTCGCATCGTCGTCAATACCACAGGCCCATATCGATTCTACGGCGAAAATGTGGTCCGTGCTTGCATCAACGCCGGCACCCATCACGTGGACGTCAGTGGTGAGCCCCAGTACATGGAAACGATGCAACTGAAATACAATGAGCTGGCCAAAGAGCGCGGCGTGTATGTGATCAGTGCTTGCGGCTTCGATTCCATACCTGCCGATATGGGCATCGTTTTTGTGGAGAAGAATTTCGATGGTGTCGTCAATTCTGTGGAGACCTTTTTGGTAAATGGTGTAAAAGACGCGGATGCTTCCTATGGCAAAGCTGGTCTCAATACAGGCACCTGGGAGAGCGCTGTTTATGGGCTGGCGCACTCGGACGAGCTGCGTGGCATTCGACAGAAATTGTACCCGGAGCGTCTGCCAAAGTTCTTTCCCATACTGAAGCATCGCCCGTTGATGTTCCGTTCCTCGGAGGTAAACAAAGTTTGCCTGCCTTTTCCGGGCTCCGATCGTTCGGTGGTCATGCGGTCCCAGCGCTTTCTGTACGAACACGACAAGAAACGACCGGTACAAATGCATGCCTACATTGGTTTCCCCTCATGGATTTCAGCCATTGTCGTTGCTCTCTTCGCGACCTTCTTTGGCCTAATGGCCAAATTTCAGTTCGGGCGCAGTTTGTTACTCAAGTATCCTGGCTTCTTTTCTGCCGGCTTCGTATCGCGCGATGGACCCAGTGAAGCACGCATGGAACGTACCTACTTTAAAATGACCATGAAGGCGACTGGTTGGCCCAGTTCGCAGCGTCTAGCCGAGGGCACGGATCAGTACAAGGATCCCCCAACCAAAACCCTCATGGTTAGGGTTTCGGGTCCGAATCCTGGCTACGGTTCCACATGTGTTGCCCTACTTTCCACAGCGGTTACCATTCTGCGAGAGAGCAACAAAATGCCGGACACTGGGGGTGTACTCCCACCCGGCGCCGCATTCTCCAAAACCAGCCTTATTAGCGAGCTGGAAAAGCATGAGCATGGCATGAAATTTGAAATTTTGGCCAACAAATGAATGTCGTCAGTTAATAGAATAGCTTCAGGTGTAGTTGTAACTTACAATTGTTGTATTCGCAAATAAAAATTACTAATCGGTGGCTTGTTTAAAAAAATATATCAAATTTACCTGTTTGCAATCGCATTAGAAATTCTATCTCGGGAGCCAAATATCTTGCAAATCAAAATTACAATCGATTTCGCATATCGATAGTATCGATTGTTGGCTGCCCAAATGCATTGCGATTCGACAGGCTGGCAACGCTGTTATGGTCGCTGTTTTTGTTTACCTGTTCGTGTGCTGAGTTCGACATCTTATTACCATTTTGGCCGTCAACATAAAAACTATAATTAAATAATGAGCGCCGAAATATCTGGCTTTCGGCGTTTTCTACACTGGGGTCCAATAACCGCGCTGAGTAAGTAAAGCCGAACGCTTCAAATCCAATGCATCTGAAGCATACGCCCAAAGAAGTCTTAATCATAGTTAATCCCATTCTGCATATCTAAGTCTAATAAGAACGGACCAGTCGCTGACATTTGCAAATTATTAAGTGCACACACAAAGTGAATGAACTGCAGCAAAAGGGAACCAGCAATTGGCAAATAACAAGTGTGCCACGTTAAGTGCCATCCCCCACCCACTCACGCTCAAGAATTGTTGTGTTTTGTCTGCAACGTAATAATGTTTTTCATATTCCGAGGCGGTCAACGCCGACGCTGGCGCCATTGAGGCCGCCCCCCATCGTCACTTGGATGGACGCATTCTTAAGGAGTGGCTCGTCATTTAATTCCCGTAAAATGCTGCGCTAATTGCATTTTAGTTGCTGCTTGAATAAATTATACCGATACTACTTAAGTACCGCGAATTAAACGTGGTCCGGACGAAAATTGCGTGCAATTTGACTATTCAGGCCCATCTGGGCAGACGGTAATATGACCATAAAGCATCCGGTTCGTGTTGTGGCAACTGAAAAGGCAACCTTGATATTGAACTGCGATATTATTGTACATAGCTTAATTACTGAATTTGGCGCCGCTTGTTGCTGCCCCCCGCCCCCGTAGGAGGAGGGTTGGACAACGATGGCTATGCCTCTGCTGGGCTCGGCTTGCCTGCGTTAACCAAGTCAGTTAAAATACAATTGCCACCCTTGTGTTAACGCTTAATCAAGACGCGACATAAAAAAATATACAAATAAATGTATTTCATTTCCGTGGCACGCAAAGAACCCTCCAAACAGTAACCCAACACCACTTGACGGACAATCGCCGTACATATTGATGTTTACAAATATATATATGCATACTGTGGTAATATGCAACTACAAATCTCTTGTTACCCGTGGAATGTTTAGCCATGCGTACGATTTATAATAATGTTCATCTCTCTACCCATTTCAGGCATCATTAAATGCATAACGCTGACGACGCTTTACATGAACTCGATGTGGTGGCCACCGAACGAATCGTTTGCTGCTTTCGCACATCAGGCACTGTTCCTGCTGCTCTCCACGTTGGCCACTTTCAATTACATCATGGCCACGGTGACAGGTCCGGGCCTGCTGCCAAAACAATGGCAGCCAAAGGTAAAGCATTACAAACGTTGCCCAGCCCCAAGATCCCCGACTAAGCCCAAGCTCGCACCATTAGGCAACTAAACCAACACGAAAAGAAAAATACTATAAAACATTTTGTCGTGACATTGGCATGCATGGAAAATGTTTGTCAACTGGGGTCGGTCGGGCTTGTGCTCCCTGGTGGGTCACGATACCAACGTAGGGGCGTGCCAGGAGCAGGAGCAGCTTTTTCAATATGAATATATACGTATATACAAGTTATATGCATAGTATAGTTTTAATGGCAGGTTAGGCCTTCTTTGGGCCAGTCATCTGATTTGAAATTAATATGCTGGGCTGCAACAAACGGAAATGCTTAATTTAGTTAGTTTACTATAATATATCACAGTAATTTCCACAGGCTTGTGCTTAGGGAGTGTGAGAATTCTAGAGCTAAACTATTAGTACAAGTTATAGGCGTAGAGCCCAAAAAATATGGGCTGTTCAGTTTTAGGCTCTTACCAAGGCTCCGCCTGTAGGTTTGGTTCTTTAATCTGGTTTCCATTTCAACGAACCAAGCTTCTGGCTCGTCACATTCTAATCAATTTTTAAATGAAAGAATTGAGTGAAAAAATGTTTAATCATTTATTAAAAAAATTGTTTTTTCTAGAAAGTCGGCTTCCAATATTATTTTATCTAAAGAATCAGCAGCATTTTATTCTATATTCCTTCAGTTTTTTTACTTAATCTTGTAGTCATGTTTGCGAATTTTCTGCCACTTCCTGTTGATTTCTGGAAGTAAAATACGACACGCACCCAACTCTGCTATATATATATATATCTGTATACTTGATCCTAAGAGCCTTCACAATTGCTTGCTTTCGTAAGCATGGTAAGGATCCCTGTTGACATGCTCTCACCTGGTCGCCCATTTTTATGCCGCGTCACTTCTGGATCGGAAATTATTGTTTAGCACAACAAAAAAGCCTTGCCAGCCACTTGTTTGCATGTCCTGAGACAGCCAATCTGTGGGGGGCAAATGCAACCGGGCAGCTCATTCATGCATACGAATGCATATGAATGTCCGTGCACGACTTTGGGCCTACAAATGGGTCAGCAAAGTTGACGGCATCGCGTGCTCGACCCTTTATCGCCAGCTGGCGCGTAATGCAGCAATTAGACGCTGCAATTTAACTCAGAAGTGGACGATAAGCTGAAGCACAGCAGGCGGCTAGACAAATCTGCTGACTGTTGACTGCTGGGGCGGTGGCAATTTTTCGACACCAATCAATTGGGGCCCGTTGCGCCCAACCCCCTAATAACTTATGGCCAAAAGGCTGTCACGCGAACGTAAACGCAGCTACTACGGAGCCGTGCTCGTAATGCAATTACCCAAAATTTGCATAAATGTTTTGTGGGCCACACGCCAGACGCGACGCAATGGGCGCAGGTTAGCTGGTTGGTTGGGTCATTTAGTGAGCTGTGAGGAATACTACATTATAAAACTTACTTATCACGCATATTTTATATTTTAATTTGACAAGGACCCCAAGGACACGGAGTGGCTGCAGTACTGCAAGCAGTGTGAGGGCTACAAGGCGCCGCGTTCGCATCACTGTCGCAAATGTAGGTGAACCACATGAATAACTATGCCAGCCTTTAATCATACTAAACAATTGCAATTTCTTGCAGGCAATCGCTGTGTTAAAAAAATGGACCATCACTGCCCATGGATCAACCATTGTGTTGGTTGGGCCAACCACGCCTATTTCTGCTACTTTCTGCTCTTCTCTATACTGGGCAGTCTGCATGGTTCCGTGGTTCTTAGTTGTTCCTTTTATCGCGGCATTCACCGCTATTACTACCTGACCCACGGAATGGCCTATTTGGCCAGCGTACAGTTTACTATCGGCAGCATTGTCATGTGCATACTGGGCATGGGCCTGGCCATTGGCGTTGTGATTGGACTGGGCATGCTGCTCTTTATACAGTTGAAGACAATCATCATTAATCAGACGGGCATTGAGCTCTGGATTGTAGAGAAGGCGATCTATCGCCGATACAAAGCCGACGCTTATGAGCCATTTGTCTATCCATACGATTTGGGGTGGCGGCTTAATCTGCGCCAGGTGTTCAACGACGAGTGTCAAAAACGCGGTGATGGCATCGAATGGCCTGTGGTCCAGGGCTGTGATCAATACACGTTGACCGTAAGTGCACTATCAGTTCGCGAAAAACATTTCCAACTAAAAAACTTCTCTCACAGCGCGAGCAGCTGGCCCAAAAGCAGGAGAAACGTGCCCGAACCCGCGTCTACAAGTGTATAAGCCCTGTATCAGGTCGATGGATGCCCATCTTCTCACAGGGTTGGCGCATCTGCATCAATGCACCCTGCACAGACGAGCCACGCATTCGCCTACAGCCCGACGACATCATCAAGGTGACGCGCTTTCGCCGGCACTGGCTGTTTGGTGAGCGTGTGCCCAGCGAGCTGGAGCACACAGCTGTCTCGCAGCAGAGGCGTCAGCGTAAAGGTCCCATACGTGGCTGGTTTCCACGTCGCAGTGTCGTTGCCATTACCGAAATGCCGGATTCCGATAGCAGCGATGATGTTAAGCCCGTTAAAACCTCGACTAGCAATGGACACGGTCATGGAAAGCAACAGCAACGCAATGGACTTAGCAAAAAGTACATGTAGACCCAAATGGGAGCATACCGAGACAATTTTAATTACAATATGCAATGCGTTCAACTGCAAATCGGCTTGTAAATAGTGATAGAAACTCTTTAATGGCTCGATTTCATCAGGTTTTATGAGCACGCAGGTTAGATTGTTAGCTGGAAGCCAATATATAAATGATGACGTCTCGAATGATTGAGAAGAATAGTATGAGCAATGCGAAGGAAAAGAACTTTGTGGATTGCAATCTGGTGACACGTTGCAAATTAGAAGTTATTTTCGATTTTTATGCAATCTATTTTTCCTTTTAAAAAATATTATTACTTCTGCCTTTGTAAAAATTACTTCATATGTTTTTTTTTGGACAAACTAAAACAGTTTTCGTTTTCATATTATAATTTAACGTAAGATTTAAATTATATGATTTTTTATACAAATAAAAGTGAGCCTATGTTAAGCATCAAAATATCCATTGCTAGATATTTGATTTGCTCTCTTTGCATTTTGTTGCTTTTAATTAAGCGGAACAAATTTAATATTTTGCGCGGCATATAATAAAAAGAGTTAATTATGATAATGATAATAAATACCTGACCAAAAGTTTTTAGTAAACTAAACTTTAAGCAATGCTGGTCCGTTGGTTAAATACCTCAAACTAAAATAATATAAATATTAGCAGCAACACATTGCTGATAAAAGACACAAAAAATGTTCTGTTTGGGTCGAGCTGAAGCTTTGCCCGAAAATAGCCAGTTGGCATTGGAGCAATTTCCTAGCTGCTCATTTAACTAATTTAAGGCACAAGACCTAAAATATTGCTTTATGCTTGTTATACACGCGCACTTTTGCTGTAAATTACAAAAATTAATATACGCCTTGCACTTGTTTTTTTTTTTAATAGCAGTAAAAGAGTAAATTACTTTAGATTTTTACTCGTATATAGTAGTTTATGTATAATAATATATATATTTTATATTTATATATGTATTACATATAGTATAGGTATACGAAATTATATTATAGTATACCACGTAAATGTGGACATTATTTAACAATTTATTTGGAAGCCATTGTTGCCTCGATTTCCTCCACAGTGCGTGGTACAATTGCAAAGTTCTCGGTACCGGTCTCGGTGATCAGCACGTCATCCTCAATGCGTACACCGCCAAAGTTGCGAAAACGTTCAAACATCTCCACATTGATGTATTTGCGAATTTGCGGATCAGCGAGCGCCTTGTCCATAAGTTGTTTTATGAAATAACAGCCGGGCTCTATGGTTACATACATGCCCGCTTTGAGGATGCGAGCAAAGCGCAACTTGCTTAGCCAGGGCTCGCTGGGACGGCGAGGCTCAGCGGGCAGGTAGCCACCCACGTCGTGGACATCCAGGCCAATCAGGTGACCCAGGCCGTGTGGCTGAAACACTCCGGAGAGGCCAGCCTCAAGCATTTCATCAACATCGCCGTTAAGCATGCCACCAGCCTTGAGGCGCTCCAGGAGCACCCTACCGGACAGTTTGTGCATATCCACCCAGGAGACGCCGTCACGCGCCGTCTCCATGACAGCATTGCGTGCGGCCAGCACCGCATTGTAAATGAATTTTTGATCCTCTGTAAATTTGCCGTTTGCCGGAAAGCTGCAGGTGATGTCAGCTGCATATCCACAATAGTTGGCGCCCATATCGAAGAGACACATTTCGCCGTTTTGAATGGGTCGATTGTTGGGTGCACCAGCGTGTCCATAATGCAATATGGCCGAATTGGTGCCACTGCCGCAGATGCAGGTGTATGACGCGTGCCGGCAGCCGCCCACGGCATAGGCATGATGCAAGAACACAGATTCGCCTTCGTATTCCATACGCCCAGGGCGAATGAACTGCATAACTTTAATGTGCGCATCGGAAGACACCTTGGCCACATACCGCAAGACCTCGATCTCCTCCTTGGACTTGATAACGCGACATTCCGAAAGTATGGGATAGAGCAGATCACAGTTTGTCACATATTTCTCTTTGCCTGCAAACTCCGGCGGTTGCATTGTGAGGCCGCTATCGCTGTTTGTGCCACTTAACGTTAGTATAAGCTTGGGTGCGGTCTTTTCCAGATAGGCTTCGAGTTCATCGACATAGTAGACCTCGTCTACCTCGTACATGGCCTTGAACTCCTCTGGCTTCAGCAAAGCACCCATCCATGTCTCATACTCCTCGGGCAAACGGGGCACAAACAAAACGGAAGTTGGTTGAGCCGTCTTTACATCAATGCTAAGTATGCCGTAGCAACCGGGTTCCTTGGCGCCAAACATGTACTGAAAGTAGGACTCCTGCCGGAACACATAGTCAACGTCAGTATTGTACAGGCTCTGATCCTTGCCACCCTCTAGAAGAATGAGCAGCTGACCAGAGCCTAACTTTAGGCTATCCAGTGAATTGTCTAGAAGTGCCTTGCAGACTTTATTCCTATTGTTTTTGAATAATGTCATCGGCACCGCGTGACAGGATCCCATTTGAAAGCAAGCCATTTTTGCCTAGCGTTACGATTATGAATGCCGGGGAGCAACTGGTGTGTTTTCGCCCTGATTAGCTTGTCAATATCTACATGAACCACTTGTGAGCTGCAATAAATAAGCGTTTATTATCGCTGCTTTATTGGTTTTTGTTGATTCTTTTTTTATTGTTCTGCGTGTAGAAATCTCCACAACTGGACTGCGGGAAAGCTTTTTGTAGAATCTTGGAGCGAAATGCACTAACAATATCTGTTTACGTGATTTGGCTTTCTTTACTTGACCTGTTAACTTAACATTTTGCTAATATGTTATTTTCAGTGGGCGGCTATGTTGTGTAGAAAATCCGCAGGTACTAGCTTGTAGTGTATCGTATATATTGTAATACTTAACAAATTATGGGATTTTCCAAAAAAAAAATGTCTAGCTATCGGCTAGTTAGGGAGTATAGGGTTCAATTAAGCAAAAAATTTAAAATTCTACAGCTGCTTTGTGAATAACAGTGCAGGGCTTGTTAACAGTGACACTTATATAGCAAATATCGATATTTTAGCAGTAGAGTCTCATAGCTGTGATGCCTTTTCTTGGTCGCGTATTGGCTAAATTGATATTCCAAACCAACAGAACACAAGTTCTTTGGTGTGTTATTGGCTAAAACGCTCAGAGAGGAATGCATTCAGCGTATATATTGTTAATAGTATAAAAAACATTCAATTTTAATAATTTTTTTATTACAAACGGTCCCTTTTAATTTGATTCATTATTGTTTTTAAGTAATCAAAAACGCACACAATAAGAAACAAGTAGCAAAAAGCGCGGGGAACTGAAACTAGTTCACGTTCACGCTATGATACAATGTGCACATCTCTCTTGGCTGTAGCTGGTCACACTACATTCTTTCGTCGAAGTAAAATTTTTTTGCAAATTCTATTTTCATATTTTTGAATAAAGCATTTTTTAAAGTGCAATAGAGCGATTTTTATTGTTGGAGTGAAACAGACAAATTCACTGCAGTTCAACTCTATTTTTAGATATACAGAGCTGAATTGCTCTTAGCAAATAGTCCTACAGCTGCGTCACAAGTTCCAATGTCGGCGTCACAACGCGGCCGCGGCATGAGCAAACAAATTAATATCAACGCTCACAAGTAGAAATAGAGCACGCAAAACGAGTGGAAAAACGGATCTGATCTGGACTGAATGTACAGTAGCTGATCCATGAAGCATTGCTGTCATGTCTAGTTCTGTATTTAGCGAGCCGCCCAGTGCCCGGCCAAATGGAGCCGATGGAGATTCCAACCTGGTCGTGGTATACACCAAAAATGGCATCTCATTTGACGAGCGTGCCATTGAGAATATTATGGGTAAGACAGTTTATCTCTGCTCTCGTACATGTACATACATATATCAAATAATATAATTTTAGAGGAAAAATCAATTGCGAGTATTAGTGTTGTGCGGCTTACATCGCCCACGCCAAGCATGGTCGATCAAGAGGAAACCGAACGTCTGGAAGAGCTGGAGCGTTTTCTAGAAGCGGCAACTGATCGGGAAGAATCGGATACAGATAATGATAGCCAAAGCGGCAATGATGAGCTGATAAGTGAAAAGGATCATGTTACCGGCGATGACAATGACAACACCGGCTGCGAAAATAATGGTGACTCGACGGAAACCGAAGCCGAGGTACCTAAGGTTAAAAAGCGCCCCGGTCGCAAGCCCAAAGCTCCCAAAAAGCAGAAAAAACGTCGAAAACCTAAAGAACGCCCACAAATTGTGGGGCTCAGTGTCGAACAGTTCTACGCGGAAAGTTCTGCCGATTTGGTGGTGAAAAATGCTCTGAGTATGTTGTTTAACATAGAACTATTAGCTAAACTAATGTATATTTATAAAAATTGCAGAGTTGGCTGGTTTATCTATATTCAAGCGCACGCCGGAAACAGATGCTTTGTTAGAGATTATTCGAAACGATCACAATTACACTCCATTCACGTCGCCCGAACAAATGAAAGCACAGAAGACAGCAGAAAGAATGGCTTTGGAACGTCAAACAGTCCAAGGACGCAAATTCATCGTTCACACCCAATCCAATGTGAAAATGTTGAGCGCTAAAAAGCGATTCCAAGTGGTGCCTATTAAGCAGGTACATACCACAACGCAGCAACCACTCAGGCAACAACAGTTACCTCCAAAGCCACCACAGCAGCAGCAGAGACAACCGCAGCAGCTTCTCAAGCAACCACCGCAGCTGCACAGGCAGCAGGTACACAACCAGCTGCAGCAGCCGCCAGCATCCAAACAGCAGCAGATAATTTTACCGGGGCCACGGTCAGTTCGTAGTACTGTCAAAGTGATAAGTCCTGCGGAGGACTACGTAGAGGATGACGAAGATGCAAACAGCTCGGCAACTGCGGACGAGGAGAATGCCGATACCGAGGAACATAGCGAGCCCAGTGACGCTTCCCGTGAAACTGACAACGATCGAGACAGTGATATTGATTTCAAAATGAACAACAGCCGTAGCGCGAACAAACGTAGGCGTATTAAGAAGTTTTCCAGGCGATCCCATTCGCAGTCTGCGCGTGGACAAACAGTGCCTACACCAAAGGTGCAACAACAACAACAACCAGCACAAAGTTCACTTCCACATTTCAAGCGACGCAAGGAACAGACGGATGGCAATTTGTCTGCTCCAGCAATTGGTCAGATTGTTCAGCTTAATACAAAAGCGCCACCATCAGTAATTGCCTTGGGTCGTAACATATTGAGCACATCATTTCTTAAAATGCGCCCAACCCACAAATCCCTGCCCCCAGCTACTGCATTACCGAACGAGGCAAACAGAATGTCCGCCTCCGCGGTCGCCGCCAAGATGCGGAGAGCACCATTTGTGCAAGTGGGTCGTGTGGTGAATGTGCCACCGGGCGGGTTCGTGACGCCTCCGCAAGAGGTTAAAGAGATTATTATAAATAAGAATCTGTCAAGCCCCAAAGGTGTATTCACCAATCTAAACAGTCTACTGGCTGAGAATAACAATACGGCGATGCTGACATCAACGCCGGACAACAGCAAACAGAACCCTTTAAATACGCCCAGCACTCCCAAGTCGAGTATGAATCCGCTGCCAACGCCGGCACCGGTATCTTCATCTTCTAAGGGCTTTATGCCCATTGGCGTGGAGACGGCTTCCTCTCACAAGCTACCCGCACAGATTGTTATCGAAACGCATCAGAGCTCCTCGGAGCTGGCTGCCGAAAACGACAAACAACTTGATCTCATTGACTCTATTGTGCAGGATGAGCTGCTGAAGGCATCTTTGATCGAAAAACCGCCTGCTACAGCCGATGAGAACATACCCAAACTAGTTAAGATGCTAGAGAGCACTGCCGCGTGTCTGGATCAAGTACCCGAACCAACAATGAATGCGCTCAATATCCCACAACAACAGAGTTTCGATGGTAATCTGGTAGCCACTGCAGTTGTGGATAACATTGATATAGCCAGTGCACGTTTGCTGGAAACTCCAGACGAGGATGAAATCACCGCGGACTTCCTTCAACATGTTGTGGGCCTCATAGAGGAGGACAAACAATTTGAAGCCGAGGTGGTCAAACAGGTGCTGGCCAGCACTGAAACGGGTGCTCTAGATGCAATTGCAAATGTTGTGGCGCCTCCAATCTTCGATGTTGCCAGCCAGTTGCCAACAATTGCTCAGGTAAGTTTTTAATATCAACTACCAAAAATAATACTCTGATACATGCTTCTACGTAGCCGCTGCTCAATGATTTTCCCGCCAATGTTGTAACAAGTTCTTTGACCAATTTGCCCATGGCGTGCAGCACTCCCGCTCGCTCTACTGGAACGTTAACGTTGTCATCCCGCCCTGAGACGAAAATAGTGCGAGGCAATGGACGTGTCATTTATCTGCCACCCATCGAGGCGCCCACAACTCGCGCCAAGCGTCGAGCTCAGAACTTTCCCGTGACAGTTACAACAATGTCAGACATTAGTACCACGTCGCTTACAGAACCAACCCTGGATAGCAGCCACTTGACCAGCAGCAGCTTAGATAGTGACAGCTTTTCGTCACAAATAGGTGGAGTAGCTAGAAAACAGTTGCCCAGAGAATCCGCTGGGAGCGTCAGGCGGCCTAGAAGATCAAACAAGTCAAATATTAACAGTGAAGTTAATGATCCGGAAGCCTCGGAATCTCAAGAGGACGATGATGATCCCAATAAGTAAGCTTTCTGTTAAGTTCATTCCATGCGATACTAAAATTGCCCTCGTCTTAGGCTATGGTGTATCTGCCGTCAGCCACACAATAATCGATTTATGATATGCTGTGATCTATGCGAGGATTGGTACCATGGAACGTGTGTTAGTGTGACAAAGGCCATGGGCCTGGAAATGGAGCAAAAGGGCATTGACTGGAAGTGTCCCAAGTGCGTTAAAAAACAGGAGGAGAAGGTAGCTATTACAAATACTTTTAACACGATTTGTAGCGTAATCAATTTTTTAACTGATATGTGGAATGTTTTAACTTTACACAATAGTTTCATCTAGTTTTAATCACACCATTATATCTACCCGTACAGAGTCAACCACGCATCACGGACATGTTGTTACCCAAGCAAACTGTGGAGCCAGCCGAGTGCGTGCAACCAAATGAAACCAAAGCAGCTGTTGAGCTTCAGGAGCTTACGCCTAAGCGGTCTCCGCCCGTTTCCGGAGTATCGGTAACATCGCTACCCATAAGCACAAGTAGTCCGCTTGTGAAGCAACAAAAACGGCAGCTACTCAACAAGCCCCAGCCGAGAATGCATCAACAGCAACTGCATTTTATCAAGCTTGGCGGAAGCAGCTTCACATCCAATACGGATGTAACCTGCGTAGTATGCAAGCGTCCAGCGCGCGTCAATTCGGTTTATTGCAGTGACGAATGCATTCGCAAATATGCACAGACCGCAATTCAGGCACAGACCGTACCGAAGACGCCGGAGCCGACGCAGCAACCAGCTGCTCCGCAACCATCACTAGCAAACGCACTCGAAGCCAAAAAGAACAAAAAGAAGGATCTGTTTGAGGATGTGCTGCGCCAGGCCGATTCCATGTCAAAGGTTGAGCGGGTATGTGAACTGGTGTAATAAATATATTTGCCTGTTGCTATTGTAACTTTACTTTCCAGATCAATGTCTTTGAGCGCCGAAGCGGGCGTGCAATTACGGGTCACTTAGCGCCCAGTGCTCAGCAACTAAAGAAATGGCTGCAGGATAATCCCAGCTTTGAAGTAGTGCAGCCTGGCAGTCAGCAGGCGCAGGAAATTGAGGTATGCAAGTTGAAGATGTATATCATACATAATCTAATATAATCTTCTCCAGAAACGTCAAAACAAACGGCAGCTAGAGCACTCTAACCCAGAGATTATTACAGTAAAAACTTCTTTGTCGTTGCCCACACAAAAGACACCGGAAAGTCCGAATAGATCCTTACAGATGCTACCAGCTATGCCCAGCATGGCAAAAAAGGAGAAGCCTGCCGGCAAGGCGACAATCACGCCTAGTCGTTCACCCGAAAAGAGCAGCACGGAAAGACCTGTGAGTAATTCCCAGCCTGAACCCATACGTTTCAATGTGCGACGCACGCTTAAGGAGCAATTGCTGTCGCGCATTAAGGAGGCGCAGGCGGCAGAGTTACCAACAGAAAAGTCCGATTGGTTAACGGCGGCGGAGGTGGAGAACTTTGTGAAGCGAGTGGAGTCGGAAATGTATCATTCGTTTGGGCGGGATGTAAGCGCCAAGTACAAGTCTAAATATCGATCTCTTATGTTTAACATCAAGGACCGTAAAAATAAGACGTTGTTCGAGAAGATATGTGCCAAACAAGTAGAGCCCAAGCAACTGGTTAGAATGACACCGGCTGAGTTAGCTAGCCAAGAGCTGGCCAAGTGGCGTGAGGAGGAAAATCGACATCAGTTGGATATGATTAAAAAGTCCGAGCTGGATTTATTGTCTTGTGCACAAAACTACGTGGTAAAGACGCACAAAGGTGAGGAGGTAATCGAATCCAAGCTGGATGTAACACTGCCAGAGGAGGAGTCAGAATTGGAGGCGAACAAATCAAAGTTTGATAGTTACGACAGCAAAAAATCATCTCAATCTATTACGGACACCTCACCCGCCACAGAAGTTAACACTAAAGAGAAGTCCTCCAGGTCGCGGGAAAAGGAACGCAGCCGTGACCGTGACAGGGACAAGCGGCATAGGAGTCACAAGCATCATCATCACCAAAGTGGTAACAAAAGAAGCCGCAGCCGGTCAAGCAGCAGAGGCCGCAGTCAAGAAAAACGCAGCCACAAAAGGCACCATCACGAGAATGAGCTCGATAAAGAAAAAGAACAGCCAGCACGCGACAAGCAATTAAGTAAGGAACACGCCGAAAAAGTCCAATCCCCGCTGCACAAGAAACCAACTGACAAGAAAGCTGAACCCCCCTTGGTAGCTTTTAATTTGGTTGATCAAATTCTGGAGTCGGAGAAAACCGTGGAAGAGGCCGCTAATCTGACACAGCCCGCCAAACAAACATTAAAATCATTGCCTGTAGCCACAAAAACTACAGCCAAAATTGAAGTGCCAACGCCTGCTCTGGATAGATACGCTCGCTATGTACAGGGCCTGCCCAACCCGGCAATATGGACTGGCAATTTGAATATGGTGGATGTCACCAATTTTGATGTGGTCATTCATTCCGTACACGGGGATACAAATCAACTGGATAAACTGCTGCCCATCAATTTGGATGTTATTGGTCGCATAACGCGTGTGAATGTCTGGGAATATCTCAAAAAGATCAAAAAGAGTCCCACCAAGGAGATTGTTATTGTCAGTTTGTTTCCTGCCAACGTCTCAAACACTGTTAGATTTGACAGCTTCTTCGAATACCTTGACTCACGACAGCGTCTTGGTGTTTTGGGTGCCGACTCGGAAAATATTCGAGACTTTTATATATTCCCCTTGGGCACCCGTGATAAGTTGCCCACAGTACTACACACATTAGACAGTGTTCCCTTCTACGAGGACACGCAACGGCCAAACACGCTGCTCGGCATCATTGTGCGTTGCCTGAGCAAACGTTTGGTTAACTTGAGCCAGACGCTGCCCCTACCATTAACCACTGCCAGCAACAAAACTGCAAAGGTAGCATTAGCTTACATATCTGAAAGATGTTGACTATATTTTTTCCCGTTTTTTTTTCAGAGTTCAAGCAAAACACGCGTTAGAACAACGTTCACGCCTCCGAGCAGTCCGAAGCGCAAGCATAGCACGCACTCGACTAGCTCCAAGGATGACGAGTTCGATATTGACGCCATTATAAAAGCGCCTATTGCCAAGCTGCAAAAGTGTGAGTACTGTGTATATAAGCTAAAACCATTCGTCAGCTGCAATAAAAGATATTGTTCAATTCCAGCCAACGTTTCGGCGGAAGCGCTGGCTAGCATAGATGATCCGAATGCGCCATATTCGCCCGGAGGCAGTTCTGATGACAATGATGATTTGCCCACATCGGCTCCAGGCAATAAGAATGACCTGGAGCGCAAAGTAAATGAAATTAATAGGCAAATCGCTGCGCAACGCATGGAAATAGCCGGCCTCTTAAATGTGGAGCCATCTGTGAGTGCCCCGAGAACATTGCAATTAAGAATTGCCCTAAATAATCCTGTTACGATCCACAGATTCTAGATAAACCATCGTCATCATCCAAAATGCTAGCCAGTATATCAATACCGCCTAATCTGACGAAGATTTTGGCTAGCTTAAAGGAGAAGAGTGAGTCGCAAACTAGACCAAAGTCAAGCGATGATGAGGAGTACAATCCAGAAGATGCAATCACTTCAAACAGCTCATACGGCATGGGTAAGAGGGTGGATTATAAATTGATTTTAATTCGAACACAATCACTGACTCCTTAACAATTTTTCAGCTACTAAAAGTGCAGTGGGTGCGACAAAGGCTAAAAGTCGCTTGGCGCAGCTAAGTGAAGCAGAGCTTCTTAGTATGGTGCCGGATAATATGGTGGATCTAACGCCGACAAATTCTGCCACAAACGATGAGCCCCCACCGCCAGGTGTTTAGGCTAAGGCTAAGCGCAGTACGGTTATAATAATCATAATTTAGAATTTACGTGTGTACTTGACTAGCTTTGATCTACCTAATCTTAGTTTTGAATGGAATTCAATTTATAAATATCCTTTGATTTTCGCCTATCATTATGTACATTCACGTTCAACGAATTGAATACCATTTCTGTATTATACCCAGCAATCGAAACAATTGAAAAGATGTCCGTGTTTGGATACAGTTGGTTTTTTATTTTATTAAACACACAAATTCGGAAATTGTAGGGTTTCCTTTAGGCATACCAACTAACCTTCTAAGTTCTTGTACATTTTTCTTAAATACAAATACAAAATTGCTACGTAACATTTCTAATAGGGATACTATATTTGATATTGTATATATTGTTTTGATTGCATATTTAGTTAATCTCGCATGGATCAAACTGGCTGTCGAAATGCGCACAAGATATTTTAGGTCCATTGTGCACTCTGGGAATGGCTATACGAAAGAGTATGCCAATCGGCATGCATACGCAAATCTTGTACTGCACGCTACCAGTGCGCAGACCCAGCTCCGAACTGACAATCGGTATGCGATCCATGTCTAAGAAAATTCCTTTGCCTGCCTCCAATACTGTTGCGCCCTGTGTTGAGTTAACTGAGACGTGATGCTCGACATGCAGCTCTATGATAGTTCCATCGAGGAACACGCCCTCGGAGCCCTTAATGGAAATATGCCCGTCACTATCTATAAGCAAAGGTGCGTCAATGGGGCTGGAAATGCGGCTCACACTGGCCACCTTGGTTTGTAGACCACCATCCACTCCATCGGGTATATTGTATTGTGGGCGATGGGTGGTAAACAATGTCGATTGATCAACTGGATCTTTGATTTCAAACACATTGGCTTCTATGGCAATTCCCTCCTTGTCGAGCACAACTCGATCCCGTTCATTCAGGACACTGGAAGCGGCACCATTACCATTGCGAAAGACTCGTAAATGCACTCCACTGTCCTCTCCATCGCTGCTGATCGATACGGGTACATCGGAAAAGCCGTGTATTCCAATTGTATTCGTTTGGATGCGATCCAAATCGGTTTCATCATAGAATTTAACTAAATCAACTTCCGGAATAAGCTCCATGCCCTGTACACCCTTGCCCAAACGTAACACACCCATAATTGTGAGTGTCAGGATCAAATTGCCAATTGTCAAGATTAGCAGGACTAAGACAGAGATCCAAAATGCAAAGCTATTACGTCTTTTCCGGCTGGGATGTAAATGGGAACAGCTATCATCATCGTATGCACAATTGAACTTCTCATCGAAGAAATTTACGGTGTCCGTCTTCGAATCAATCCGGGCCAGGTCCATGTCGGCAGCTCCAATTGGCAGTGTTACGGATAAGGCAGTTTCCGAGTTTGCTTCGTCTGAGTATGATGGCGAAGGGCCTCTTATAAAAGTATTTTCAAAAATGTCCATTTTTCGTTTCAGAAGTCTGCTGTATTGTCTGTGTATTGCCAACTTGTCTGCTGTGTGTATGCGGTACGATGGGCATATATAATTCAGATTTGAAGGCATGCGCATTGCACAGATTAAAACAGTTTTGGCGCCAAATTTAAACACAGCGCCCTAGGGGAAAATTACGTCTGGGTGGTTGTTTGGGGACAATTTATTTAAAGATTTTTTGAATTTGTAGTCGATCCATCTAAATATAACTTAATATGAGCAGACATTGTTCATAAGCCAGCTTACACAATTTAATTATATATCATAACCAATATTTTTATTTGCTGAACACCCTCTCTCTATACATAATAATAAATCAACTAGTTGACAATTGTTAAACAACTTCTTTGAATCCTAATAATGAGTAATTAACTGCATTTATAATATTATTTATTAAATTGTACTTGATAATTATTAACTATTTTTATTTTGTCACTATTATTTCGTCGCAACTTAAAAATACGTGTGACAAGTAACTAATTGCAGCCCATTAGAAAAGAGCGAACGATAAACTTGGTTCGCTCTTTCGGTTCAATTGAACTTATTCCGAACGATTCGATTCAACTCCAATCTATATTATTTCATTTTCGCAACATGTCCTTTAAGGTAAGATTAGATTTCAATGCAAATAATTTTATTTTATGACAGCATTTTATTTGAATACAATACAGCCAATTGATCCGAAACGCGATGAGATACGTCGCTATCTGGAACGCGGAAGCGTTCTCGATTCACTTACAAAAATATTTATACGTGTAATTAAGGAGCGCCCAGAAAACCCAATGGAGTATATACGAAACAACATTGGCGTGGTGCGGCATCAGCACGATAAATATGAACGCCTATCACAGGATCTACAGGAGGCAAACGAAGAAATCCAGCGTTTGCGTGCCATTATAAATAGCATTAACCCAGAGGTGCTGCAGGGACAGAGTCAGCACGCTGCCGGCGAATCCGATTCCGAGCCAGTGACAGTTGCCGTGCAAGTTGAGGACTCTCTCGAGTCGGAGATCACGCAAGAAGTCAAACAGGGTATACCTGAAGTAAACAAAGTAGAAAATGCAGCAGTTGACAAAGCCGATAAGGAGTTGAGCGCAGCCTTAGACGATTGCCACATTGAAGAAAACAACATGGCTGCCGGCAATACGACCGAAAATACAAAGCACAGCATATCCGTCCAAGCTGAACCCGGCCACACTGATAATACCGAGTGAATCATTATACTAAATTGCTAAGCTCACATAAGGCATACCATTAGAATGGATTCTCGTAGAAATGTTACCAGTTTGTAAGACTAAGAAGTGTAAGGTATTTTCCTAAATATAAATAAAACTTGTGTGGAGGCACGCAAATTCCTTAAATGGCTTGAAGTATTTGACAACTATAGACATATAAACGTTGCATTAGTGGGTTTTTTAAATATTTATTGAAATCAATTTTATAATTCATACACGTGGTATATCATTTGCTTATTAATACAAAGGATTATTGATAAGACATATTAATAATAGTAAGTTATTTGTTTTCTTTCTTTTGTTTAAACACATCTTAAAAATGATAAACACGAAAAAATAAAATTGTACATGTAAGCATGGATCGAATTACAAGAGTTCATCATAATTGAACAAATGAAAGCGGACTTGGGTATAAAATAAGACATGGACCAGCTGTACCAATGGTTGGCTGCAATGTGGACGAACATAAACTGATTTTTATTTCGAAGGTCAAAACTTAGTGTTTACTTTTACTTTCTTGGCAAGCGCTAACTCTTTGTTTTATTTCTTTCTTTCTCGTTTCCTCCAATTTTTCAATTTGTATGCCATAGTTTTAATTTAATTATTATAATTTTTTTTTTTTTTACAAAGCCCTACTACGTTTATTTTGACCGACTGTTACAGTCGCCTTGATCGTATGTCTATGTGAAATAAAATTGATCTTGTACTAACATTTTAGTCTCGCGTTTAAATTGGACAAAACTATATGTACATGCATATGTGCATGTGTCGATATACGACTATTGTGGATAGAGGTGTTGTTGTATGGTGAAATGTTTATCGAAATAAATGGTTTCTACGTAAATTATGCCTGTTTGAATGCATGCGAATGTTTTGTAATTGAAGCAAATCTCTTTATTTCTTAAAAGGTCAAATGTTGTCCAGGATTGGGTTGCATTTTATAAAGTTTTTTACTGGACGCAGAGCGTTCGGTTCTTCCCTCTCTGGCCGCATTGTCGGTGCTAGGTTTGTAAAATTAGATTTGCCCCTGCTGACGATAGAAATGTAGATAAGAATTTGATAGGCAAGTCAATATGTTAGTCGCTTTACTTACGTTGAATCATTAAATTTCTTATTGGTTTCTTGCCTGCTTTGTAAAGAAAATTGTGTGTTTGTGTGTGTGTGTGTGTGTGTGTGTGTGTGGGAAATTTATTGGTGTTATTACTTTTTACGCTTGTCTGCCGGTTTTAAAATCTGGAATGAGCACATTAGAGAGTCATCCACAGACATCATTGCGCCAGCATTGTCAAATTCGCCGCAGTAATTGGGTGCCGAGAAGAGTGTGACCAGCTGACGCTTTGCAAAGAACTCATAGCCATCCTCGACGACCTGATGGGCGCGGCAAATGAGATCGAACTCGTGCTTCTCCAAGAATTTGGCCACAACCTCAGCGCCAAAGGTAAAACTGACGCCACGATCATTCTCGCCCCAGCCCATGGTGTCCTTATCCGGATCGGACCACAGCAAGTCGCATAAAAGACCCTGATCTGGCACATCGGTGGGACGCATAATGCGTCGGATTTGCTCCATCGACGACAGGTCCGGGCTGAGACCGCCATGGCAACAGAATATCTTCTCATCCACAATGGCCGCTACTGGCAAGCAATTGAAGCAATCAGTAAATGTCTTCCACAATTTGATGGTATAGCGGCGCTTGCACTCGTCATAGAATCCATAGATGCGGTTTATGCTGGCGCATTCGTGGTTACCGCGCAGCAAGAAGAAGTTCTCAGAGTATTTGATTTTATAGGCGAGCAGCAAGCAGATGGTTTCCAGCGACTGTTTTCCACGATCGACGTAGTCGCCCAAGAACAGGTAATTTGATTCCGGGGGAAAGCCACCGTACTCGAAGAGGCGCAGCAAATCGTAATATTGGCCATGTATGTCGCCGCAAATCTTCAATGGTGCTTCCAGCTCCAAAAGTATGGGTTGCGAGAGAAATATCTCTCGCGACTTCAGACAGAGGCCACGAATTTCGCTCTCGGAGAGCTGAACATTTTTGCCAGGCCGTGCCCCACGCACTTCCAGAAGTCTTGATATGATGCTGTCGATATTCATAACATCGCCCATGTTTCTGTATTGTTTTTTGCTGCGCAGTTACTGTGCTTGAATTTTCCACCGAAGAATGGCAAGTAGCTCTGATGTATATTTTTCACTATAAATATTTTTCACAGCACAGCTACTACCAGAAAATTTCTCCAGTGTGCCCACATTTCACAAAAAAAAAACAGGAGGAAGTGAAATGGGCAGTTAGTCACACATTTTACAAGCAGTGTGTCCCACTTGCACTCACAGGGTTGCGCCGTTGCCCGCCATATGCGTCGTTTGGCTATTGTTGGCGTGGTGCAAGCAGGACAACTATGGCTCTAATTGTTAGCACCTTGCCAACTTGATTTCAAAATATTATACGGCAACATCATTAGCGTGCTATAAAATAATATTTAAACTATTTAACGGTTAAAAAATACTGACCAAATATATTAGCCAATTTACCAAATTCCATTTAATGTAATGTAAGTGTATGTTTTTTCAATAATCGAAGTTTTGTACACAACTATATATATATTTTTTCTTTGGTCACACAATCGTGAATGCTGTCTCACTTAAGCTTTGCGCTAAATTAAATTGGTTAATTGAATCAGCGCCTGTTAAAAATGTTGCTCGAAATTATTACTAAAAAGAAATGTAATGAGGTATATTTAATTGCGGAAATTGGCCAAAATCATCAGGGATGTCTTGAAACTGCTAAAGCGATGATACTAGAAGCAAAAAAAGCGGGATGCAATTGTGTAAAATTTCAAAAATCAGATTTGAAATCGAAGTTCACCCGTTCCGCCCTTAATCGAGCATATGAAAGCAAAAACTCTTGGGGTAAAACCTACGGAGAACATAAGCAATTTCTTGAATTTTCCAAGGAGCAGTATCAGCAGCTGCAAGCATATAGTAATGAAATTAAAATTGATTTCACTGCATCTGCTATGGATGAGGTAATAAAGAATGCCTTTGATTACCACAATTCGACTAATATTTGTAATAATCACAATGTTTATTTTTAAATTTTGCAGCCGTCTTTGGATTTCCTCGTTGATTTGAAGGTACCCTTTATTAAGATTGGTTCGGGAGATGCGAACAATTTTCCACTCCTGACAAAAGCTGCAAGTCTCAACATACCTTTAGTAATATCGACCGGAATGCAAACCATGCAAACTGTTGATAAGATCGTAGAAATTATGAAGCAAGCGGGCAACAATCGGTACGCGTTGATGCACTGCGTCTCTGCCTATCCGACTCCACCGAATGACTGCAATTTACAAATGATCGCAACACTAATGCGACGTTATCCCAATGTTGCCATTGGATACTCTGGGCATGAGCTGGGTGTACGCATCACGGAGGCAGCTATATTGACTGGAGCTAGGATAGTTGAGCGACACTTTACACTGGACAAGAACCAGAAAGGCTCAGATCACCGCTGCTCTCTTGATCCCAGCGAAATGTGGTCGCTGGTCCGCTTCATAAATGAATTTAAGCATAACGCATATATTTCCACCCCTGGCCTCAGTGCTGATCAAGTGGTTACAATCTTGGGTGGGGGAAAGCAGTTGGAGCAAGCACTACAAGAAGGTAAGGGAAAGGAGAAGGTTATTTTAGAGAGCGAACTGCCTTGTCGCCTCAAATTGGGTAAATCAATTGTGGCTGCACGAAGTCTGGACGTTAGGCAAACAATTCAAGCGGCCGATTTAGCAATTAAAGTCAGCGAGCCGTCGGGTATTTCTGCAGAAAAATATTTTGATATAATTGGCATGAGGCTAAAGGACAGTGTCAATGAAGATGAGCCCATAACTGAGAATATGCTGATACCATAAGTCAGCGGCGTTTATTGATTACGTTTCTTAATAAAATGTAATAAAATTCCTAATGACTAGTTTATTCAGCTGCGTCGTCGCTGCCTACATCCTCATTTTCATTCTCGATCATTTCAATATCTTCCTCAAGATCACCTTCCTTTTTGTCGGTCGGTTTCTCATACACGGGCTTTAGCGGCGATACAACTACTCCATTCCATACGGACATTTCGCGCACAATGCTTGTGTTGCCCTCCAATCCCAGTATGTGCTTGTATCCACCGTGGGCTAATACTCGCAGTAGCGTCTGAGCCGTATAGCAGCATACGTCCTGCTGCTCGAGAGTCATGGCTGTGTGGACCCGAATGTGGCCCGGCTCGGTTGGGTCGGTTATACCCGCTGATCCTGGAAGAAAGAGTCCAGCAGACAGCAATTGAAATACACGACGAAATGCCAAATTGATAGGCAACGCTTGACGCGATGGATTATTCATTATTGCCAGATGGGCAATCAAATCAAGCATCCAGGCGGAGAGCGGTGAAAAGGCTTCAAATCGCTTTGTCAGATCCTTTAAAATACGTATCAGGACTTTAATTGACGAATGGTGAGCATTCTCCTCGAACCAGCGAGTATGACGTATTGCCGCTAAATGACTCTGCATCAATTTATGATCCAAATGTATTTCCGGCTCGAGTTTACGGATGTTCTGCGGCAATGTGGAAATAAGAATGCGCACTTTGGCTTGCAAATTGGACACATCGAAGCCTCTGTCGTGTATTTGTATGGTGTGTTGTTCACCCTTGGTCAACACTTCGGTTTTCATGCTATTTTTTAAATCAGTCTCCACCTTCTTGGCCAGTGCTTCGCAAGCTTCTTTAGTAGGCAGTGTTTTAAGGATGACCACAACATCTGCCACATTGTTTCCAGTGAGGATAGTGCCTTTTTTGAAAGATCCCACTTGCCGCACTTCTTCCAATTGCTATAGTATAGTATATTTGTAAAAGTGAATTTATGTGGGTTTATGTACAACTTACACAAGTATTGAAATCGCCTGGCGCAACGACCAAGTTATCTAAAACAGCTTGCACCTTAGTTACCAAGTTGCCAATTGCCGTCTGCTCGGCCGGAGTTGGACTAAGATCCTGGTTGCGTTTCAATAGGGCCTAATGAAATCCAAAGTAAACACATCAATGTTTGATTGTATACATATAAATAATTTTATTATTATCGATTTTACCGCAGTCAAGGCAGAATCATCCACAGCCGGCGAGACTTTGGGAAACACAACTTCGGCCAATGTTAAATCAAACGGATGGCGAGGTACAAATGTTTTCTTGAACGGCGGCCGTATGCCACCGCGCATAGGCCTTCCGCCTCGAAGCGCTCCACGTACCATACTTTTATTATAATGAATAATTTTGACGAAATTGATTTCTAATTCAATCAGCAAGTCCCACACTGCGTCTACGACAGTTTTCAATGAATTTGTCGAGGGTTGCAATGACGATAGTTCGAAAGAAAAGTTTGTTTAGTATTGGCCGAGTTGCAAAAAAAATAATCGATAGATTCCATCGGTTATTCACTTTTAGAAAGAGTTTATTGCAAAAATCGAAATTTTTTTGTACATGTCTTTTAACAGCAATGTCAAATTTAAATAAAGAATAATGTGATGAAATGCTATTATCGTTTTTCGGCTAATCATAATATCGATTCCGACAATTGATCGCCCACCACATTTACCACGGTATTTTTACTATCGTTGCTTATGGAGCCGATACTATTGGGAGCATTGGCGATAGTGTCACAGCTCTAGTTTCTGCTTGTCATCTTTTCCTTTTGGTGAGAATTGTCGGCATTTATTTAAAAATTATTGTAACACAAATTTAAGCCAACAATAATGGCTACTGAACGTTACAGCTTCTCTCTGACAACATTTAGGTAAGTTGGGCTTCACAATTCACCGTAAACAATATTTTCTCCCTTTTTGATATATGGAAAACGTGTCTGCATGACTGGCACAAATATAAATTTTATCATTTGCTTGCAGTCCTTCAGGAAAGCTTGTCCAATTGGAATATGCCTTGGCGGCCGTCTCCGGAGGGGCACCTTCTGTTGGTATTATGGGTAAGCCTACTTCATAAATTGCATTGCGCCCGGTGTGTAGAATGTTTGGTTTTCCTTAGCATCCAATGGCGTCGTTATTGCAACAGAAAATAAATACAAATCGTCGCTTTACGAGGAACATAGTGTGCACCGCGTGGAAATGGTAAACAAACATATTGGAATGGTATATTCTGGCATGGGGCCCGACTACCGCTTACTGGTGAAGCAAGCACGTAAAATCGCCCAGTCATACTATCTCACTTACAAGGAACCCATACCGGTGTCACAGCTCGTGCAGCGCGTGGCTACGCTCATGCAGGAATACACTCAGTCGGGGTAAAAAATATATATTTTCATTATAGTATAGTGTATTTAACTAACTTTTACTTTCTTTAGTGGCGTGCGTCCATTTGGAGTGTCACTATTGATTTGCGGCTGGGACAATGACCGTCCATATCTTTATCAATCGGATCCCTCAGGCGCATATTTTGCCTGGAAGGCCACTGCAATGGGCAAAAATGCCGTTAACGGCAAAACATTTTTGGAAAAGCGGTTAGTACGGCATAAGTCTATGCATTTTAACAACTTCATAACGCTCGTGTTGCGCTTGTAGTTATAGTGAAGATCTTGAGCTGGAAGACGCTGTGCACACTGCCATTCTGACTCTGAAGGAAGGATTCGAAGGAAAGATGACTTCAGATAACATTGAGGTTGGAATCTGTGATCAGAACGGTTTTAAGCGTTTGGACCCTGCCACAATTAAGGACTATTTGGCAAACATCCCTTAAATTTTGCTTCACGGTCAAAGAAACCCAAGCTAAGCTTTTTAGCGAGTACGTAAACAATGAAAATAAAGTTTGTAAGTGTTCCGGGCTTTGAAATTAATCAAGAATTCTAGCTTTTTATGTTCAAAAATTTGGTTATTCTTTAAATGGAATGCGGCTTCAATGCTTTTGTACAAATGTATCTTACAGGCAGCAGAAGGCATCTCCGACCCCACAAAGTACATATTCTCACTCATCATCAACACTCGGGTTGCCTGTCCGTACGTATGTACGTCGCGTCTAAGAAAACAAGAATGGGAGACTTGAAATATTGAACATTATTCCTCAGTTTCGGATCGATCAATGATCCATTGAAAAAATAGATATTAGAATTCTGTTTTTTTTGGGTATATGTCGGCGCAAGAGATACCAAATTTTGGTTATAGACTCTAAATGTATAGTGCACAGTTTATAATAAATGCACACGAGAAAGAATGTAACGCCAGTTCGGCGCAGGGTTCAGGGTCCTAGTTTCCTAGTTGGGCAATCCCGACTAGCGCACTCTCACTTATAAGATTTTTATTTTATTGCTTGATTGTTTTTATTTCATTTCTTTTTGGACTTTTTTTCTCTTCTTGGGCACTTTGTATATAAATGTTAATGTGTGCGTTGACGACGCGACTTACGCACTACGAGAACTTAGTCAAGGCTTACAACTATATCAGATCAGTTATCGAGAGTAGTTACTGCTTACTGTTAAGGCTATGTATGATTATTTACAATTTAAAGAATACATCGATATTAGTCATAGACTCTCGTGTCCTGTGCTGGTGAATATTGATATTGTATTTGGAATATTCCACATGCATGTTTTTTGTGGTTGAGACCAAATCCACAATCAAATATTCAAGCAGCGCAGTTTTGTCTCCGGTATTCGGGAGGTAAACTCGAATGATGGCGGGCGGCGTACGTCTTCGTGTGAGTCGCGACGTATGCGATCAGGATTGCGACCCATTACAGATGACAGAGGGATTTCCTTGCGGTAAATCTCCTGCAGCACCAGTCGCTCTAGCTCAAATAAATGTTCATCACGCACGCCTGGTATCTCCTCGTGCATGAAGAGTGCCAATCGCAAAAGATATTCCGCATTGTGTCCGCTTGGTCCGCGGCAATTTGCGATTTGTTCGGCTATTACCGCGAGTGGTGCATCACCCAGCCAATGTCGGTTCTCCGGTGTAGCCACATATACCATCACCTCGACGGCCTCCCCACTAAAGGGTGTGTCATGCGAAGCGACGCGGGGAAAAAATTTCGTTTCAAGCGTTGCATAGCCACCTGTTCACAAATGAAGATAAGTTAGAGTTGGCCTATATATATATTTATTTTTTAAATATTTTTTTGAATGCTCACCCAATGTGCATTCGCGTTGCTTGAGATACTCCAGAGCCGTAGAGCCTGTTATTCTGTAAGCACAGCCCCATGTAATGCCCTGAAAATAAAAAATTCTATTATTTTAATAAAAAATAGAAAAAAAAATTAACGTTTAAAAAATGTAAAATAGTTTTCATGTTTTAAAAATAAATTTGTGCGTCTAAAAAAAGATTTCGTTGAGCGCGCGCGCATGTTATTCGTATAGCTTCGTTCATGCTTAGAATTCCCAACTCATTTTTCGGCGTGCGTCACAGATAAATAGCGGCGAACGACAATCAGTTCAGCCCGCTTTGAGTTTTCCTGGCTTGTCTCTCGGGGTCACAAACGAGCTCCTGGTAGCTCCCATTTATCACCCTGGGTAAAGTCCCCGGGCCACGGATAGAAAGTATCAAGGCGTAAAAAACAGTTGGTGCGACGGTTCGCTGCCGTCGTGTACAATTTCGCCTATATTTCGCGGTATTTCGCCTTGCGTACTCCAATGAAGAGAGACCCGTTATTAAGGGTCTCGAATTGTTGCGCTCGGTTGACTGCGGAAATGTGCCAGAGAACATAAGATATGGACGAGTAGGTGGGCGTGTCACAGCGCCCGCCTACACGGAATGGGGCTTACGTAGGGAAATTCAAACGCAGCGCGCGCAATAACTTTTTCTTTACCTACCCTTACACACACTCATTAACGAACTGATGTACATATACATAGGCATAAAATATATGTGTGTATATAATTTATTTTATAGGAAATATTTAATGGGGTTGCGCTTACCTCTTTGTCCTCAACAAGTGTTGCGACACGTCCAGGCTGTGAAAAAGAATAAAGAAAAATATTTAAATGTAGAAATGCGCTTTCGTTTTTAAATTGTTGAATAAAGAAAGTGGAGGCTAGCCGCAAGCTGCACGTTCTGTTTATTTGTTTATTCTCGATATGTAGATCGGACCCTGACTTATATAAATACATAGTTCGTTAAATAAGCAGAACAGAACGCAAAAATAAATGATGTTAAGGTGCCGATTATGCACGGGCACCAAAGTTGATCAATTTTTATGTAATATATGCACAAACATACGTACATATAAATATGTATATATATATATAAAGTTGGAAACTTAAAGGCCTGTTGTTTGCTTCGTTTGAATAGTTCGCGCCTAAAGAAGCTTGTTAATTCTGTATTTTGTACATGTCTGTAGAACCTGCCGGTTACGCTAAGGCGACAAGTATTTAAATTAAACTCTGTCTAGCCATTTACGTCTAGGTTTGTTTTGTCCGCTACTGATAACACATACTAATTAGATAATAATAAAAACAGAGAATCGGCCCCAAATGCCATGTATACAAAAATCCGGGAAAACCAGCCAGACTGTTCTTAGATGCCCGCCCATCAAGTGGTCACAGGTGCTAGGGCTAACTAATTTAATGGAAGGCTTTAATCGTTTTGACTCACCTCTTCCTCGGTGCCACGATGCGTTACGTTGCCCTGCCAGAAGCGGCGCACGTAGCCTCGTATATAGCCTGTTATGCATTTGGTGTAGGTGAAGCCCGGATACCAGCACAGGGAACCGTAGCCAAAGACCCAGCAGGCGGCGTGGCTGTCGTTATTGCCATTATCGGGACGATTCTCCTGATCGTTGTTGCCGTCGTTGTTATTATTGTTGTTGTTGTTGTTGTTGTTGTTGCTATCATCGTCATCACCCAGTTTGCCATCGGTGAAAAGATTCTTGAAGTGTGCGGGCACCTCGGTTGGAGCCTGATGTCCGCTGTAGTGTGCCATAATGTGTCCAAAAGAAATTGCTAACACACTCTTAATTTGAGCCCTTTGCCGAACTAACTTGTTGTTGATTTTATTCTGATGTGAAATATGTATGTATGTATAATGTATAACTGTTTCTGTGTAGTGCTCGGCTCTTATATTGGCATGCTGGAGGTATATTGGATGGGGGCATGCAACGCGTTGCTGCTATCTCACGTTTCGCATTTTACGCCCAAGTTCTTAGCAGATTTCGCCGTCTCTGTATGGAGGAAAATTTAGTCAATCTTTTTGGTTACACATTACATAAAACTACAATTTGAAATGTTTTTTTTTTCATGTCACATAAGGCTTACTTGATCTATCGCATCTAACTCTACTAGTTTCTACATATGTATTCTTGCAATTGTTTTGTTTTGCTTATAATAAATTATTATATTTGTATGCGAACCGTTCGCAAGTTGCCACTGAATAGTTCCGATTGGGACCGGGAACTAAACCGCGCGACTGACGATCCTAAGTTCAAATTAAACAGCCGCGCGGCCCGTGCGAAAAACGAAAACATTTTTGAGCGAGAAAAAAAAATTATTGTACAATAAATATTTATGACGCTCTGTCTAAGTCGTCTGCAGCGTTAGCGCAATAGACTTATCTGTGAATCTACTCAAAAATTATACAAAAGTAAATACACACGGGCACGTGTGTGTGAGTTTATTCAAATTGTTGTTGTTTGGCGCCCTCACGCTCACCCCCTCACCAAGCAGATACATGGCCCGCTCTCTCACACTCTCTCCCTCTCTCTCACTTCCTCGCTCTCTCTCTCTCTCTCTCTCTCTCTCTCTCTCTCTCAACGCTGATAGTGAAACTGAATCGAACAAGTTCTTTTGCTTTTCCATAAGGTAGAGCTGACTTGCTTTAAACACGATCCATAAAAAAGTCGCCCATTAGGCGTAGGCAATTATTTATATGCATACTTAATAGGTGCTAAATCTTAAGTTAAATGACACGGCAAAAATGTTGCTACACAAATTGATTATCTACCTTGCAAATACTTCAAAATATTTAAGTGGCATTTGACTTGGGAATTATATAGTTAATTTCTTGATAATAAGATTTGATTAGAATTATTAAAATCTGATTGGAAATATTGCGAATCATGTAGCCCACTTTTGTTAATGTTAAGGGCAATAACATTTTGCTGTATTTTATTGTGCGATTTATTTGTAATCTTTATACAACCCATATAATGCGGTGTTTCCCAAGATTTGTTTTTCTTTGTTGTTTTTCCTTTGTTCCTTACACAGTTCTACTTACACTCGACAATTCTATTTGCAGAAATGCTCTATTTCTTTAAATAGGCTCAGATATACGTGTCATGTGGTTAGCCTTATTTAATTCTATTTTGAAACATAGTGGCATATATGATAGCTCTGAATGGTTCTTCTATAAACTGTTTTCAAAAATACATTCTTTACTGAATAATATATTTAAGAACCTTAAATATAAAAATAATAATAATATAATCACAGTGAACTGTAGCTTTGCCTTTCTTTGCGATTCTCATAAACACTGCAAACCTAATATTTCGTTATGGATTGGCATGCACAACAATTGTTTTTTATATAAACAGACAAGATATAACTTCTAAGCTACTATTATACTGTCAAAGACGACAGCATTATTTGGCCAGCTAAAGCAAGCAGCTTCTACGGTATAAAAGAAATAATTTCGCACATACACACACATCTGCACTCACACACAGAGCAGCAAGTAAATAAACCTCCATTGAGACAAATACGTCCAGTTGTACAGTTGAGTTGTTCTTGTTCTTTATTTTTGGCAAACATGGTTAGATATTGGGCTGGGGTCTGCGATTTTGTAGGCTTTTCTAACTGCGCAGCTGTTAAATAATAATTGGGACGGGAAGCCAGAAATGCCCGGCATGTTTGGCGCTC